ATCAAGTTTAGCATCTAATAATAATCCTAAGTCACGTATTTCGCTTACCCTTTCTAAGGGCGTGTCAGATAAATTATAGTCTTCATTTAGTGGACAGCGTTTACGCGTTAATGTTACGAGTATTATTTTACATTTATTATTATTAAAGGGAAGACGATTTAATACGCTCCAATCCAAAACCGCACTGATATCTCTTTGCAATGCCTCGCAGTCAGACGGGCAATCTACACCTAGGCTTAATTTGAGATCATCCGCGAACAACAGACATTTTGAGGCAACCACGTTATTCGGTAAGTCATTAATGAAAATAAGAAAAAGCAATGGCCCCAGCGTACTTCCCTGACTTACCCCAGATCTTGTGTAATAGTCACTAGACTCAAATGCACCCACTATAATAAACTGACGCCGATCACGTAGGTAATTTGAAAAAAATTCGACAAGTTTTGGAGCAAAGCCTATCACCGCCAATTTACGTAACAATATATCATTGTCGACCAGGTCAAATGCTTTTTTAAAGTCGAAGTACGCAGTATCTACCTGCCTACCAGCATCCAACTCAGCATATATATAGTCAAGATGAGCCACAAGATTAGAAGTGGTAGAACGGGCTGTTCGAAAACCGTGTTGACTATCATGCAATAAATTCTGAGTTTGTTTATTAATTTGCTGGCATAAGACAATCTCAAATAATTTTGCAAAGACTGATAAGACTGCAATCGGTCTAAAAGACGAATCGTTTAACATCTGTCGTCGTCGGTATACATCTGCTATTAACCCCACAGGTATTATAAGTTTGTAGTGTGTATCTATGTATTTATGTGTCTGTGTGTCAGTCTGTGGCTCCTATAGCTCCCAAACAAATAAACCTTATAAGAAAAAACTTCTGATAATTTTTTTTTCGTTTTAAGGGTGTATTATATAACGGCAACCGCCATTTTTTACTATTTTGAGATGTCATCATAAAGATATTTCTGCCCATGTCCTGTTTCGGTATTCCCTCTGTTGCCTCTTACGACACCTACGGGCCGATATGGGGTAGTGGATATTATTACACCGCCACTACACAGCTGACATCCATTAGGTGAAGGCTACCAAGTGCACTACTTATTACTTACTTTACTAGTAACTATAGTAGTAATTTTTCGAAATTCGAAATTCGATCGGGACGTGGAAACCACCAACAACTTAACATGCACTCATGCATCTTACTATTTTCTTTGTTTCAAAGACCGCAAAAGCTTACTATTGGACGCACACATATCGTTTGTCCGGAAGAATACAGTATCATGTCAAAATTTGGCACTAACCTTTTTTTTTTATAGGAGAGGGGGCAAACGAGCATGCAGCTCACTTGATGGTAAGTGACTACCGCCGCCCATGAACAACTGCAATACCAGGGGAATCGCAGATGCGTTGCCGGCCTTTTAAAAAGGAGTACGCTCTTTTCTTGAAGGTCCCTAAGTCGTATCGGTCCGGAAAAATCGCTGATGGTAATCGATTCCACAAGGAGGACGTGCGAGGAAGAAAACATCTTCTAAATCGCACAGTGGTGGACCGCCAATCATCCAGATGGTGTGGATGGTATCGGGAGTTCTGCCGCGATGTGCGTTCGTGAAATTTGGCGGCTGGGATTAATCCGAACAATTCCTCAGAGCACTCCCCATGGTAGATGCGAAAGAAAATGCAAAGGGATGCAACATCTCTTCGCAGTGCCAATGAATCGAGCCGATCGAAAAGGGCTCGGTCGTCGACGATTCGAGCAGCTTTGCGTTGGATGCGGTCAAGTGGAAGGAGCTGGCACTGGGGAGCCTCTGCCCAGAGATGGGAACAGTATTCCATGTGAGGCCGAACCTGCGCCTTGTAAAGTTGCAGGCGGTGTGCCGGCATGAAATACTGTCCCGCCCTGCTGAGCACGCCAAGCTTTTTAGAGGCCAATTTGGCCTTCCCTGCCAAGTGACCACGAAACTGCACGTCACTCGATATGTCGACTCCGAGGATACCGATACTGGCTGAGGCAAGAAACTGAGGAGATACGACAAAGGGATTCTTTTTAGCGGTAAACGCGCAAACTTGTGTCTTCTGAGGATTAAACTGGACTAGATTTAGTCGCCCCCAATCCGAGACTTTGCTCAGCAAAGACTCGACTTCAGACACAAGTTTGTTCCGGTACTCAGCGACGTTTTCCTGAGAAATATTGGCACGGCCGGTGTATAGAGCATCACCAGTGCTGTCATCCGCATAGCAATGAATGTTACCAGTTAGCAACATATCATTGATATGCAGAAGAAACAGCGTTGGTGATAGCACACAGCCTTGTGGAACACCAGCGTTAATAGGCTTGTAGTCAGAGCATGCACCGTCTACAACGACCTTGATGCTCCCATCAGCAAGGAAGCTGGTGATCCAATTGCACAATTTTTTGGGAAGCCCATAGGAAGGGAGCTTCGAAAGAAGCGCTTTGTGCCAAACCCGATCGAAGGCCTTCGCAATGTCCAGACTAACGGCCAACGCCTCCCCATTGGACTCTACTGCCTCCGCCCATCTATGGGTCAGGTAGACCAGAAGATCACCAGCTGATCGACCCCGACGAAAACCGTATTGGCGGTCACTGATCAGCTGGTGATCCTCAAGGTACCGGATGAGCTGGCAGTTAATAATGGATTCCATTATTTTGGAGAACAAGAAGGTGATCGCGATAGCCCTATAGTTGGATGGGTCTGAGAGGTCGCCTTTTTTAGGAATCGGGTGGACAAAAGCTGTCTTCCATGAATTCGGGACTACGCCTTGGGAGTAGGAGTACCGGAAAAGACGCGTTAGGACCGGTGCCAACTCCGGAGCACACGTCCTCAGCACAATTGGGGGGATTCCGTCAGGCCCACTCGACTTCTGTATGTCCAGGGAGAGCAGTGCTTTGCGAACCGAGCGCTGTAAGAACAGCACATCCGGCATGGAGCACACACCGCGGGATGGTCGGTGGTGTTTTCCCCCCGTCATCAACAGTCGAGTTGGACGCAAAAAGGGAGCCTAAAAGGTCGGCTTTGTCTTTTGCGTCATGGGCCAGTGAGTCATCCTCCCTGTGCAGAGATGGTAGTGATGGCTTACAGAAATTCCCTTGGACAGAGACCAGAATGCACGGGTTCCCGAAGGAAGGCGAACTAGTTTCTCGCCAATTCTGCCTATGTGCTCTGACTTTGCCCTGGCAATAACTCTTTTGAAGGACCTGGAGGCGAAGTTATGCTTCTTTTTAAGTGTGCTGGTGTTTACATCCCGAGTCGCCGAAGCCGCAGCCCAGGCTTGATAACACTCCTGCTTACTGCGTAAAGCAGTCTTACAGGAGCGACCAAACCAAGGCTGAGATCTGCCTCCCATGGGTACCACAGATGATGGAATAAATAGTTCCATTCCCTGTAGCACCACATCAGTGACAGAGTCAGCAACAGCGCTGGGATCGTCCGGCGAGAAGCAAACCCGCCCCCATGGGTAGGATGCAAAGAAAGACCGCATTCCGTCCCAATCCGCCGACCTGTAATGCCAAACACGGCGGCAACCTGCAGAACGCAACCGCGAAGGGAGCGTGAGTGGCACCACACTCCGGATCAGACAATGGTCCGAAGAGCCGAGAGGGGCATCGACGGAAACCTGATATACGTCCGGATGAGAGGTCAGCAGAAGGTCCAACAGGGAAGGTGTATGATCCTCCACATCTGGAATCCGCGTAGGCGAAGTAACCAGTTGTTTCAGACCATATGCCAAGGCAAAGTCATAAACAGATCTCCCCGCATGATCGGTTAGACGTGAACCGAGCCATTCGGCATGGTGGGCGTTAAAATCGCCAAGGATCACGATCTCTGCGGATGGGACCTGTTGTAGCAAGGAATCTGTAGCCATTTGGACGTGGTCGATGAGTCGGTCTGTTTCGGCATTACCGCTATGGGACCTATAGAGGCACCCGTAGACGCGCGGATGGTCGTCGCTATCTACGCGTAACCAAAGGATGGACAGGTCCGAACCTTCAAGACTGCCGAGGCGTCGAGAACAGATGTCCTCTCTGACATACACGCAAACTCCAGCCCGAGGCACAAAGGAATGCTCCAATTTGTACCCCGGGTAGGAGAGATACGAAATATCAGCCGGAGAGCAAACCTGCGTCTCGGTCAGAAAGAGCAAGGCCGGCTTCGCCGTCTCGAGATGGTAGTGGACGGCGTTTAGGTTAGAGTGAAGTCCCCTTATGTTGCAGAAATTCACGGATAGCGTGGCAGGGGTCGCCTTGGTGTTCTTGCTCAGTTTGCTCCTCGCAGTTATGCTTTTGAGCGGAATTTTGCCCCCCCCCCAGAATACGCGGGGCAGCCTGACTTAATAATACTGTCCGACTAAAAAAAGTACGTTCTACCTTTTAAATTAGGTCGAAAATTGCTTTCACCTTGAATGAACAAATCACGAAAGTTGCATCTATATCCCATTGCTTTTTCTGTTTCGCTAGACAAAGGAAGAACGACACGTTCAGTGTTGCTCCTGTCCTTGAACTAGTTTGACCCGTATTGTTATTCGATACAGAGTATTATCTATTAATGATACATAGATTCGATTTTACCCCAAGAAGAAAAGTGTATTATTGTGATTTCTTGCTGTATTTTTCTTTAAGTAAGTATTTTATTTTCCAAATCCTATTTAGAACAGAGTTATAACACGAAAATTAACCTGTATTCTTCACTATAACGTAACGCTTAGTGTACCCCGCATTTAAATGAACAAAGTATTATTTTGAGTTGTGCCTATGATCTATTAAAAGTTTTGTGTATTTTTTTGTTTGCTACTTTATTCACCATAAGTTGTATCTTATTCAAGTATTATTACAAAATGTGTCTGTGTTCATTTGAATTTTAGTTGATGTTAATGTATCAAAGATAAAAACTACGATGTTCTGTTTACAACTATTTAATTTAGATAGCAGTTTGTCTAATTCTGACTATGATCTTCAGTTTCATATTCTTAATTTCAGAATGATACTACAGAAAAGACTAGATTATATTCGAAAATGTATAGTAGCACAGGGTGAGTCATCAAATAACCGTCAATATAATTTGAACTCATCCGAAAATCTTGATACTATCTTAGATGAACAAGGCCCTGGCTACATCGAATGTTTAGAAAATGTTGATTTCGCATGCGAATCTGATCCAAATGGTAAGAATAGTATTTTTTTTATAATAGGTATTAATAACTTTAACTAGTGGTTTTGCCGTTTTGCTCAATATCGAACACAAGAAGGCGTTGTATTTTATCTGGATCTATTCAGCCATTCTGACGTTAATGAGTAATACCTAGACATCCTAACTTTTACATTTATAATATTATTAAAATTATCATTATTTTTCTTTTGATCAAAGTACGAGTAACATGAGGAACCAAAAATATTAGTAATTTAAGTATTGCAATGACACGTTTTTCTAGTTGTTCCGCTATGCCGCATTTATCAAGTACATTGTTTTATTTATTTTCCTTATTACAGAAAATGTACAAACCAATTTGATTGAAAATATTTATATTTTCCCCAGATCATAGTATTCTAGTATCCAATGCTATTGAAAATTGTTTGAACAATGATGCAAATGTTACTGATATTAATGGTGAGAATATATTTGAATGATTTTTTAGTCTGAAGGGAGGTTACTATTCCTTCGTTTATTTATATTTAGGTATATTTTTATCATTTAAATTTTTATTTTTATTTTAGGCATATCTAACACTGAAGATCTAAGTGAAGCCGATAAAAGTGATGAACCCGATTTCGATTCAGATGACAGCGTTAAAGATCCAAACTTTAGACATAGATCAGCGTCAATATCATCAACGGATTCAAGTTCATCTTCTAGCTCCAGCTCCTCCAATTCCAGTTCATCATCATCAGCTTCTAGTACACGCTCACATTCCGCCCACCGCGAAAACATTCCACCTGCATTACACGTCTCTAGCATCGAAGTCATTCCACCTGCAGACTCTCAGGTTGAAAACTTAGATTTGAACAAAAAAACTCACACGTAAACGACAACGAAATATTAATGAATGGAAATCGGAAGTCGCGAAACGTTTAAGAAACACAGGTCAAAGCTACACATCAAAAAAACTAAAAAAGGTCATTCCAGCCAGAAAAGTAGAGCCACCGTTGGTGAGAAGTGTCGTCCAAAATGTTCTGCAAATGTGTCAGAAGAAGAAAGACAGAACATATTTCATGAATATTACAATTTGGGCAACATAACGACGACAATAAGACAATTCATTATAAACAGCACTACTACAATTAATCCGGAATATAAATACACAAATGCGGCAAATCCTAGGCAGAGCAACAATGCATTTTACTTTTCGGTTCAAAATAATAAAGTACGTATTTGTAAAACGTTCTTTAAATCCACACTTGCCATAAATGATCGCGTAATAAGGACTGCCTTTCAAAAGCGTATACCTACAATGAGTAACGTTGTAGCCGTAGATGGTAGAGGAAAGCAAGGAAATCATGCCAAAATACTGAATATTATTAAATCCGAAATAAGGGAGCACATACAATTTATTCCGACTATGGACAGCCATTACTGTCGCAGTAATACTAATAAGCTTTATATTGATGGCAGTAAAACATTGATTGATCTCCACGGAGATTACGTTAAGTTATGTCAGACTGAATATAAGCCATATGGTAACTATGTTTTGTATAGTCATATATTTAATAATGAGTTAAATATTGCCTTTTATTCACCTAAAAAGATAGGTGTGATACTTGTGAGGCTTTCATGAATACTTCCGGGGAAGAAAAACAACGTCTTAAAGTTGAGTATGATACACATTTAGTTGAAAAAGATCTATCGAGAGCCGAGAAGGAACAAGACAAATTGAAAGGGAGCAGTGTGGTAGTTGCTGTTTATGATTTACAAGCAACAATGCACTGTCCAAGGGGGGACGTAAGTAACTTTTATTACACCTCTAAAGTAAATGTTTTAAATTTTACTATAACTGATTTGATACTATGAAGATTTTTATCAAAATTTATAAGTAACTTTTATCAAATTTAAACAAATCCTCATAGTACCTACTCATGGTTTCACTTATTCAATAAGGAATCACTTATTTATTTTTAATAATATTCTTAAGTATGTAATATGAGGACTTTTCTGATTTTATTGAGGTTTTTTTTTGTTTAATTAGTACTTAAATGTGTTTTTTTTTCTCAACTAATTATTTCATAATTAGTATGTTTTTTCAGAAAGTTGTTGTTCTTCAAATATTTTGTTCAATATTCTGTTATTTACCAGGTTACACTTTACTTGCAAAGCGTAAAGTTCCTATTAAGTTAATGTAAGTAATGCTAACTTTTAACATTTTTGAGATTTTTATTTTTGTTTTTACTTTGTTAAATAATGATACTGAGTTGTTCAATAAGTACCTTGTGATTTTTGTTTTGGTACAAGGACTAGAATTTAGATATAGACTAGAATAATACCTTAAGATTGTTATTTATTAGATTTTTATAAGTCAAGATTGATGCTAAGGCCTTTTTGCAATAAATAAGTGAGAATTGATTTAATTTCTTTGTTTTTTTCATCACTTTATTCACTTTTAAAAATATATAAATACTATTTTCTTTTGAAACTAAACATCTTGAAGAAAAGTAAAATTCAAAAGAATACAGTCACAAGTGGTAAAAAGTAAATAATTTAATAAATAATGGTAAATAGAGTAATGTCTTTAGAGATAATTATAGAGTACATACAAATACATACTAATAATAAAAAATAATCTGTTTATCTTATGGATATACCACAATATTTTTAGTTAAAAACTTTAATCGCTTCTCCTGAAAAAGTACGTTTTTAGAGTTAATACAATATTATTGCGGGCAAGCGATATGTACATAAAACCATGTTGTTGGTTGCAAATGATTTAAGGTTTTGTCTTTGCTAAGTACTCACCAACATTTTTAAGCGACTCGAATCCTTCTTAGTGTCATCGGGTATGGAATTCTAGAGATGTGTGGCCAGAACTGTAAATGAGTTACTAAAGTATCTTAATTTAAAAATACAATTACTTTTATGTTTGATAAACGTGAAACATCACACATAAATAGCACGTACATTTTATTATTCTGAAGTATGTTTATCTCTTTACGTGTAAAGACGGATTAGTAACTATAAAGAGCAACCTAAGTTTATTCCTGCTTTCATGTTTTCGTAAGTCACGCGTCAAATACCAAACCAATGTGCAGTATACATTATAGCTACTTCTGATTCTGATTGATTCGGACAGTTTGTACTGATAAATGTCATGCATATCAGCGCACAGTCAGCGTTATCTTACTTTTTTGTCAGAACTTGTTCATAACCTTACTTCTACTTTCGCTCCTATATCTCAGCTCCTATAACGCAATATGCTTCTGAATTTTCACTGAAGAGTAATGAATCCATTCATTCATTTATTTTAGCCTATAAAATCCTCTGCCGAACATAGATCTCTCCCATATATTGCGACATAAAGGGGATTTTGCCATAGTTGCCACGCTAAGGTTTACAATCGCAGGTGTTTATAATTTTGAGTTATTGTCAATAAGATGCTCTTGCCCATCGCCTGCTTTAGTTTTCCTCCGTTGCCTCTTACGACATCCACAGGATGATATGGGGATATCCCCATATCATTATATTCTTATACCTCCAGTACATGGTTTGATGTATGTTATTAATATGTTTTTAAAACCACAATTCTTTTATGTTATTTTAGTTTAGTTTACTAGAGCCTTGAAATTACTGAAGTTTTATCGATCTCCATTTTTTATTTTTATTTTTTTTTATTTTAGACAGTTTTTAATTAAAAATAAAATGTTTAAAGGGTCTTGAAGGCTACATCCGCCCTCTGACGTAATTATTACGACAGTAACTCTAACGGAAGCAATTTGCATTGTAACCACTTAACTTTTAATTAATTGTAGCTCTTACTTGTCCTTGTTGTTTTGTCAACTTTTATTTTTTTATTTTTTCTGTCCTTGTTGTATTAATTTATGAAAATAAGGCGTTTGTTCGTTAAAAAATATCAGTCTTCTTAAAGTGATAAGCCATTTGTTGACCGTTTTAGTCAATTTGTTACAACTAGATACTTAAGGTTACCACAAACTGCCTACAATGTCTATTAGTTAAGGGTTTAATGATATATTCAATATACGCAGGGAGTACACCACAAAAGCAATGTCGATAGTTAGGTTAGGATTGGTTTCCACCCAAACGGGTTCCCGCCTTGTCGTGGCGGGGCGTCTTAGTAGCCGTGACTTGCTCACCCGCAGTAAACAATGAAGAACCCCTATAGCTGCGGCCGAGATGGAATCGCGTGGTTGGTATGGCAACGTGCCACTCGCTCTGTCCTCTGATGGGGCCGCACTGTTGTTGCGGTGGTAGTGGGGCCACGGGGGGAGCGGACGGTATTGCGAGGCACCGCTCTCCCTACCCTTTGCGGCCGAAAGTTGGTTGGCAGCGGAGCCAAAGACCAGATCCGCCGCTGGGGTCGGGAAAGCGAGTGCTACCGAGCGATCTATTTTCCTGGCCCCATGGCCTCTGCGTATCGCACTCGGGGGGCCCGTTACGCAGGTGGAGTTGAAGGCCGTGGAGGAAGGCGTGCCATATGTTCCTGATGTGCCTTGCCTGAGAAGGAGAATGGGGAGACAAAGTCCTTCCCCAAGGAGGGGCTGCCAGTGCAGGTGGGGCCTGGGATGTGTGCGAAAGCGCCAATATGCGGCGAAGGTGGAACACTATGAGGAAGGAGTCCGATATAACCTGTCCTTTCCCCGCGAGGCATTTAGGCATAGGCAATTCCCACCTAGAAAACGTAGGCATTTCCCCATGTAAAAAAAATATACGGTTACGTCGATTCTTCGAGTTATATGGCCAGCCCATTGCCACTTCAGTTTACTGATCCGTTAGGCTATGCATGTTACTCTGGTTCTAATGTGGATGTATTTAGTTTTCTACGAATTTTATTACGCGTGAAACTCGAAGCATAATGAGCGCTCTCTATAGCTCACTGAATAACTCTAATATTCCTCATTCAGCCAGCAGTGAAGGACCACGGCACCGATCATTATGTCATCACTATCGACACCAACTGGTTGTATATATTTACATTAGCTTACCATAACTTTTTCCACAAAGGTGCAGTCAGTAGCAAATATAACCATTCATTTCAATCGCAATTTTTCGTACTTATGATATTTTTTGTTGAAACAAACACACGTTCTCGGAATTTACAGAGCGGAATAATTGACACAAAATTAACTACATTTTCTTTGAACCCAAATTGTAAGCAACGAACCAGGACGAGTATATATGTATTATTCAAAGCTGAAAGCGGTTGCGAAATAAGAGCCACAATGGACCTCAAAATATTATCAGAAGCGTAATGATTGCTCTGTTTAATAGAAGTAGAATATGCTACGTTGAATATATTTTTTGTACTTTATTTTGTAATATTTTAAACCCATATGGCTGCAACGGAATAATCACAGAGCACTGAATTTCACTGGTCTACAACGCAGCGATGCCTTGCTCTGCAGAAAAAATGGTTCCTCATATATCCATGGAACGTTTCATTCTCCGAAACAAAGAGTATATGAAACATTTTGTTATTAAAAACTATTCAATCGGCAACTTGCTATAACCTAAAACGAAACAACTTTAATCCACATTAAAGTTTTGAGCCAGCATGATTTTTTATAAATAATTTTTCAAAAATTTATTTTATAAAATAATGACTTAGAAAACGAAATGTTTATAAAATATTAAGTTCAGTCATGAGCGAAAACATAAACCGTCTCTTTTTAAGATTTATAAATCTCATTTTTATAATAAATTGTTCATTAAAATATTATATATTTTTATTGATATTTAAATATTTATAGAAATTGTATTTCTTTTTTACATTTTTTGTTAACAAATTGTCAACAATTTGCTTTGGGAAGGAATAAAAATGTATACCATTTTTAAAGCACTAAATGTTACTAATGAAACGTT